CAATTTCGCATGTTCAACTGAGCTCTTACTGAATGCCATTATTAATGGAGCATCGTCGAAGTATAATGGTATCTATCGATTGTCATACTAGCATTATCTGTCCATTCCATTGGATTTCATGATCACACAGCATTAGTGTGGCCTAATATGAACAAATTGCTTGGCCTGTTGAAAGTGTATGCATGTATGTAACGGGAAGTAGGGGAAACAACAAGCAGGAGGAGAGGTAGGCAGTTTGAGGGTGGGGTTGAGTTTCTCGTGCTGAAGCGACTTTATATCGGCATCAAATAATTAATTTTCACCGCGTTGCAAGGAAGCAGCTGTGAAGTATATAGTCTTGATGGGTTCTAAACAGGCAGGCGGTGTCTTCATTAAATAAATGGCTCTACAGGACGTTTCAGTATTCTGATCTCGGTGTTTGTGAAACATAGCATCAGGGTTTGTGGTGGGTTGTTTTGGTAGTGTTTTAATGTACGTAATATGCGTAAGGGCAATATCTACGTCTTAGTATATAAATGTGTTGAATAAAGTAACTGTAAGCATTTTAGAAATATCCTGTCGCTTTTAATTATATTTTATGAAGTTAAATTATTTTTATTTTATTTTATTTGGAACTGTTCGAATCATTTTCTGTTTGAACTAATATAAATAGGCTGAAGGGGAAAATGTTGTGTAGTGTTCACTAAAATTTAATGGAATAAAACTTAAACAAAATGTTTTTTTAACTCATTCAAAAGCACGGAATTCACACTGTAACCTGAGTTTCGGAATTCGTTCAGTTTTTGTTTTGGTGACGATTATTGTGCGTCGGCTTGAAGGGTCACGAAACTGCTGGTTGGAATTCTTCCCAAGTCTTACATACCACGACATTTGTAGGGAGGTTTTATTGGATTATTTCAAGAAGCGAACTGATTACTTACCATAAAATGAGACTAGAAGATAATAATGAATGGTGAATACTGGGCGGAACAGGGAATTAAAACGTGCGTCGACATAGGATTTTTCAAACGCAGTACCTCCATGATGAGACCAGGCACTTTAAGCTGTAAACAGCGGAACAAGCCATTTTTCATTTTTGCACTTTCTTTCGAAACATTCGACTGAAAGAAGATGACTCTTTTGTGGGTTGCTGCACTGTGTAGAGATTTACCGACGTAATAGGTGCTTGCTGCCTCAATTATCAGGGCAACTACACGGCGCAACAACCCAGAAGACAGCCATGACAACCTCAGATCTGAGGTTCGAAGGAAAAAAAAAACGTCTGTGTGATACAGAGAAGGAGAGGATAATTTCGCTTACTTTATGGACCTTCGGGCTTCGATCTACGGACACGTGTCGTAAAGCAGTCTTACTGAACTTAATGTGTGACTTTCATCATTGACATCCAGTCTCCATTAATCTCTCAGTAGAGGAATGTAAACAAGCCACACGTGTGTCTTGTTCCCAAGGTGGATGGTACATCGTGTGGTCGGGTATATTTTTAAGCTTCGTTATATCAAGTCGAGCCATGGCCTTGTCATGATGTTGACAAATTGGTGGAATAATTTTTCTCCCGTGTACGATTGTCGTATAAGTTACATGAAATTTTAATACGCTCACTCGCGTATCATTCCTGTAAACGTGTATAAGGCTTCCGTGTTAATTTTACTTTCCAAACAGGCCTGTTGATTCTATTTTAGCAATCTGTTGTATCAGATGGCCGACGCGCAGATCTGCGGGAACAAGCACTCCATGGAAATGTGTAGTGACAGGGAGCGTGATGATAAATTGATCTGACAATTCTCTGCTTCTTATGCAGCATCGGCAAAACTTCAGTATACAGAGTGTCCCACAAGATCTTAGCCATAAGAGAACTCGGTTATTTGGTGGGGGGGAAATGTGTTGCAAATCATGGGTTTCCGTATCTGTTTACTCACTACTTCATATTTCATGGAACACCTGCGTTGCTTTAACTGTCGCTTTCACCAATTCATGGTAAATTATTCAATTTTGCTGTCTTGTCAATGAGACAACATTATCATAACTTTTCACTAGAATGTAGCTCCGTCAAATAAAGGACTTTCCCTGTGGTCTTGAACTTCTGGAACACGCTGTATATAACGACATTTATACTTGTTTTTTTATGTGCGGAATTTGTGTCTTCATGCTTTAGGGTATTTTGAAACAAAGCAGAGGAAAATATTTAAAGCCGTAGAGGGATGAATCAACAACAAAATTCAAAGCTACACAGTGAAGATCTTCAAATTGCGTGCCCCTTCTTTCGTTTGTCTGTGATAAAATAGTCAGAGGTGAGCCGAGCACGTAACACTCGTGGAAAAACAGGAATTGCTAAGGATCTTTGGGTCGGAAGTTCTAGTTCAAAAGGACGTTTGGGTCTTACACGTAAGTGGATAGCACACTACACAAGCAGATATTATGTGAGCGAGTTGGTGGGATGTGTGCTGATTTCACTGGCTTAGTACTGGGTCCAGCGGCGCTGAGAATGATGAGTCTTAATGGTTCTGTCACTTAAGGGAACTGTTTAACAGACGAATGTCGACCACTGAAGGGACATCTTGTACCATGGGGGTCATTAACCATTAAGAAGTAGTGGCAACTATATGTACCGCCCGCTGAAAGTAAAAACCCTTGCCCATTGATTGTATTTGTGTTTTCGTTTGTTACTCTGAATAAACAAGAATTATTTTCGTAAACCAGCATCATTGCTGCGTGGTTTGGAGACACACTGTGGTTTCATTGAGGCAGTAAGTGATTTCTCCCCTCGCATTTATTTTGTTGATCTTTGGTTTCAAAGGGTTAATTGTATATTTATCTTACGATATTTTATTTGCGCAACGTAATACATACGTTGTTGTTCAGGTTCCTTGACAACGGGTCAGTTGAAGGGTTTAGTTTGGTGTCGAATGCTTGGGTCTGTGACGGGATGATTGGATGAAAGTGAAGAGGAAATAGAAATCGTGGCCTATTTAGAGTCGTTATATTTGTCTGATGACTGAGAAAAACAACGATGAGTCTCAGGGCAACCATTGTTCCGGCCGCAGCTAATGCAGATACCTTCTTAATGTCTTACCGTTTGAACTGCTATGTGAACGGACCGCGAAGAAATGTAGGTCATTGGCGAAGGTTATAATAAATTGCGTAAGTGAAAACTGGAAATTAATAATCTTGAACCTGACAAGGGCAGTCAGTCAGAGCCTTACTGTGAGCAGAACATGTTTTCTTCCATGTGGTGTTCGGAACTACGAAGCTTCTGTAATCATGAGTGACAGTCTAAAAAAAAATTGCTGAAAAAAGTTAATGCTGTAAAGTTTATTTAGATTGATAAAAGTGAAATTTTATGTACATACAGTTATGATTTGAAATCGTTCACAGTGTGTAGCTAATGTAAAAGCCTGAATGATGTGGCGATATTATTTTTAGTCACATGCGTTGTCATCTCGCTCTATTCTGCGTGGTGTGAATGCACGTGGCTGTCGTCCGCTTGCCCTTCATCCCGCCAGCTTTGCGGTATCAACACTCTAATAATTAACGATCTCTGATTAGCAAGAGTACGCTTGATGCAACTGCCATTGTAAAACTCTTGCTGTACGATCTGGCAACGTTTCATCTCTTGTGTATTGCTACATCACACACTTTATTGTTTAATTAAAATAATTCACGTCTGTCCAGTTTCATTATTACCTTCCGTTATACGTTGGACAATGCGATCAACTACAGTCATTTTCCTACAGACTCGAATTACCAGTGATGGAAATAAATACTTGGATCTTGAATAGCGGCTGCTGAACGCCTAGCGTGTCTTGAGTGATTGGGCTTTCCCGGATTATTAACCCCGAAAACGAATATCGTAGCAGAAATTATAACTTTTAAGGTCGTACTTGAATAGGCTATATACTGTTATGCAGAAACAAAGAAATAACGAAATTTACACAAATACCTGACGAATTTAAGGTCGATATTATACCTAGTATAAAATACATCGTGATTGAAAACATGGAAGGGGCTTGTGCATGGGACGGGTGAAGACAGGTGGCCGGTCGAACATGGCATGGACCTGGACAATCCGTACAAGAAAAGTTTTTGTTTACCAGATGCAGGGCTGAAGATGGAAGCATTACTTTCCATCGAAACGCCGGCACCTACCTTCAGGTCACAACTCAGCAGACCATCAATACGTTCACCGCCGTAGGAACCTCGAATTTTAATCGCGATACAAGCTTAATTTTGCTTATTTTTCTCCACGGAATTATATTTCAGTAACATACGAATATCGTAATAGATGCTTGAGACTGTAATATAGTTTGCCTTAAATCAAGGGTAGATCTCAGATCCTGACGAACTGTGTAACGAGAATATCTCATGAATTTTATAAAAATAAAGGCATTAACATTTTCCTTCCCACAGATTTTTATTTATATTAATATACCATATATTTTTTTACTGGCGTGTAAGCCCCCTTACATCCATTTTCATTCATATTTCCCTAGTGTCAGTAAAAAAAAGTTGAGTGTGTAGAGAGCGGAAACCCAGTGGAGGTTGTGCATGTGTAGACTTTAACCAAGTGAAAGTAAAGTGTCATGTTCATGTGTGTCCCAAGAGAGTTGGCTGAGAGAGGCTATGGATAGCAGAGCTGGAAGAGAGCATGCCTTGTTCTGTGCCGGCGACGCGTTAGAAAGATGATTATATGGGGGGCAGGCAATATGGGGTTTCTCTCGTTTGGGAATTGAAGCGCTCAAAAACTGCCGCGTATGCTTCAAGGGAACAAGAAAATATTTCCGATAGAGACAGTAGCGGCAAGGATATTCTTGTTGCAGAAAGTAATATTTTTATGATCGATGTTTTAAATTATTATGGGAATATCTTCTTGACATTAACATAAAATAAATGTTCTCGATTTGGATAAGCACGTGTATGTATTCATCGGGGTTCTTGGATTGCTGCAGTCTTGTACCATGTAGGAAAGGTGTTCGCACTAAACACTGTTATGTCTTTCATTACAGAGGCCTCCTTCCTCGTCTCTGTCATATCCCGGCCCCGGTAACGACGATGTGCGATCTCCGGGGTCTGGGGGCACACCGGGCCCCCTCTCGCAGCAGCCCAGTTCCCAACAGAGCGTCGACAACAGCGATCCAGGTAAGAACGGAATGTTGATCTGAGTCACTATTCATGGACAGGGCTTCATTCAAATTACCTGCACCGACAATTTCGGTTCATTTTCGAATACTAATTTTTAAATCAATGTTTTGGGAGAGCGATAAATGCGACTTTACGATTATTTCGTCTTTCGGATTGCGTTTTCTAATTAATCTGGACTAATAACGGTACCTGGGTAAGCTGTCGTAACTGGAGTTTTAAGATCATGGGCTGGACGACCCCGGGCTTTGTGTTCACCGCAATATTTAGTACTTACTTAAATATCTTGGACTTCTGCCTGGCGCAGTACTTTTGTCGGGAATGAAGTTGGTCACAACATGAAGGTGGCCGCTATCCCGTGCTCTTGTTCGCAACCACACCCCCTGTACATGGTGCTTAGAGTAGCTTTACTTGTGATATCTGCTTCCGTAGATCTACCCAAAGTGTTGATGTGAACAATCATTACCACATGTCATAAACATTGATCGCTCTTTGAGCACCTGTTATGGGCAACCACACGCTGAATTAGGGAGGCTAATGCTTACGATTAGGAATTCTCCCAGTCGTGTCTATTTTTTATTGCAGTCGTTTGATCTGTGTCATAAAGCGTAGAAAACTATTGCTTGTGTGAAGGCCAGTCGAGAGAGATGGTTCAGCCCGAGAATGTCAATGTCTACTTTAAATTCGGCAATTACAGATCTCAGTTCTCACTCTTCGTCATTTCAGGCCTTACATTCGAATGCCGGACCTAATCACTTCTGTGAACTCTTAGCAGATTCACATTTGTGAGATCTCATGTTCTCGCGGTGGCGAGTAAGAAGATGCCTGTCTTCTGGGATGTCGAGCCGTGTAGTCTGATGGAAATCGATTCATGGTTAAGACGTTCGTACTGGCTCCATCATCGTGGAACCCTGGTGATGAAGTCAGTACGAACCTCTGAAACGTCGGTCAGTTTCTACTAGATTACACGGCGCAGTGTTCCAGAAGACAATCGTATTCAGGTACACATTTGTTTTGGCTTCACTATATCGACATGGTCTTGTTGTTTTACAAGATGTGAAGCTGACAAGTTAGTTACGGCAAGCAGTATCTTGGACACGAAGTCTGTGAGACACTTCAGTCATGTTAAGGTTAGAAACGAAGGAACACATTTTTCAGAATGGGGGAAGAACGGAGAGAATTTGCTAAAACTAAAGTGTTCCAACGGAGTGGGCATTTACTAATGCGGCAGTTAAGTATTTCAATATGTTAAATTTTCCCATGATACGTAATTGAGTAAGATGAAAGTGTTGAAATCAAATATCAAGCCCAGTCCATGAATGAGGTGCGAAGTTATAAAAATTACTAAGTAATGTGATATGACACTAGTAATTTAGGAGGAAGGTAAAATGAAAATATTCGAAATGTTAGAGTGAAATTTATTGTGTCTAATTTCAGTGTACGGAAACGGCCTACACTTGATATCTCACGAGCAGTATTATTGGAACTCCCTCGCAACAGGTCAGAACCTGTAGCATTAATTCTTTTGATTTCCGAATTCTTACTGATGAATTAGAGATGTTCAGAGATTACTGTTTCCAGTACAGGTAATTTATTATTCATTTCTGTTCAACATATCAAGTGTTGTTTCTATTTATCGAAGGAACTTCTCTCATGCATTATTAATATGTTGAGGATTTCTGCTCTAACAGTGGCTATTTTTAATTTCTGCTCAACTGCCCTAGTTCAGAAGTTGAATAATTGTGAAATCATTGTTCTGAATTAATTTACTCATTGGTTTTGTTCTTCCACTTATGAGCTGGCGTTTGACTTAGGCAGCCTCAATTATGAGGTCTACATTTTCAACATCCCATTAAAACAGATCTGTAATTAAGATTCTTACAAGAAGTATTACAATTTGTTTTATGTACGAGCTATCTGATTTAATTTATTTCAAGTTGTAAATATATTTCAAATTTTGTTTGTCTCAGATTTGAACTAAGGCAGCAATGTGAGAAATTTATTCCAAATTCTCAAAAGAGACAGTAGAAGTGTGTACTACTTTCGATCTGCTTTCTGCTCAAGTTTCATTAGCGATAATTGGGTACCGACACACATTTCAGATACTTTTTACTTAGTTTGTTAGACAATTTACATGTTAGAGCGGTAATCACAATGTGGATAGTTAAGGTTTAGAGTGAATTTCTTACTAAGTGTATGTACTTTCAGCCATAAAACAGTCGGACTAATTGCATTTCCAAGTACCTGTTGCAGTATTTCAAATTCTTTCTATAAGTGTTATCAGGGATCAGCGAGTAGAATTGTTCTTGATGGTATGCAGACTTTCGAATGAAAATAACTTGTTGCTTACTACCAGTCCTTACGTGTAAGGACTAACTTGGTGCCACACTTTTAGAAGGTTCACTCGCTCGTTGTTAGCTCATGTCTGCATGCACATTCCTCAAAAGGCGACCTTGACTCTAGAGGGTGTAATAGTAATGCTATGAAAGAAAAACTTGACTTGGTTGTGGAAAACATTGTCTTCTGGTCGTAAGACGTCTGATCGTGTGAGTATACCAGACTTAATTTGTGGATGTTTGAGAGGAAAATGTATCTTGTATATTGTTTCGATTGGCAGAAACAACCCATATTCCAAAGGTATGCCTCTTAAGACATATGAAACAATTACAAGACTTGCGGAATTAAACGAAGGAAATTAACCGGTGTATGTTTACATACTAATTTCCATTACTGATTCGATTCTCGGCAAGGCACAAATTTTTCTTCTCCGTAATATCTCCCCTGTCCAGTGGGGACTGGTGAGCTTCCTTTGTAATAAAGCAGCCGAGGCGTGAATGTGACCCCTCGACACCTTGTGGAGTCGAGGTTTAGAGTTTGTGGAACACCTCCACTCCTAATACGTCTGTACGAAGTGGTCCTTTGGAAAAGCCTACGACCTTTCGGTTCATTTGAGAATTTGTTTCTGTTAATATCTTGTTAATACGCAGCACATTTTGTTTCAGTGTGTGTGTGGGTTGATCCGCTTTATCGTTATGGAACCTATGTTAAAACTGATTATATACTGGA